CATTTGTTGTAAGGGCAATCATAGAGTATAAGGCCTCTAATTGTATTTTGAGAACATTTGTCAATTACATTATCACCTTCCTGGTACCTTGGCCTTATGAATATTAAAACAAGGGTTTCTAATCGAGACCTGTATTGAAAATGTTTGCTGGCTTCTTTTGAAGTGTTTTCCAAAGATGATCTGAAGTCCATTTTTCTTTGCCTCATTTCTCTTGTGAAATTCTGCTCCCCACCTGCACACAGGAAATTGTTATTGCTGCCCCGCCCACGGCACAGAGGTGGTGCTGAGGGTTCACAGTCTGCACTGGAATGTCAGATTTCTCAATCTCGGGGCCGGGAGGCAGGCAGGGAAAGGTCCTGCTGATGAGTAGCACCCCACAGTTCTCTTTCTTTCTTTGCAATTCCTGTCTGACCAAGGGTCCTTCAGACAGAGGATTCCATCCTAGCAGTCCGGCCGTGGATCCATGTCCCGCTGCCTCCTGAGGTCAAAATAGTTTAGATGGTGTGAAGTGCTGGGAAGGAGGTAGATGGGGTGGGGGGCAGGGATGGGAGCCAGCTCTCAGAGGCCTCTGCTGAGACCTGGGAAATGGGAAGAGCCCCCAAGTTGCAGAGAGGAGGAGGAATGGAGCATGAAGATAAAGTGTGCGTCCTGAGGCAATCAAAGCCCTGCTGTGTTGTAAGAGCTGGAGGAAAGGGCAAGTAGAAAGAGTAGCAGTGGAGGGAGGAGGCGGTGAAGAGGAAGAGAGGCAGAGGTTGGGTTAGCAGAATCCCTCAGGGCCAGCATGAGGAGCACAGGGGTGGATTTTTCGAATCCACATGACCAGTATGAGGACTGCACGGGTGGTCCTTTGAATCCACATGGCCAGCATGAGGACTGCACGGGTGGGGCTTTGAATACCCACAGCCTGCATGACCCCGCTGGATGTTTGGGTGCTTGCCCATCACTTTCTAAGCAGGTCTGTTGTCTGTGCCTTTAAGTGCATTGATTGCTGGCCTGCAGTGGGTTGTGGGATACAACAGAATCAAGGATGACCCCAGAGCCATTCCCGCATGTTTCTGAAGTGATTATGCTGTGAAGTTAAGTGTAAAGTTGGATGAAGATCGGAAATGTTTTATTGTCAGTGTTTCATTAGTTTATGCTTTATGAAACATAGCCCGTGAATCACTGATTTTAGAACCTGTGGTAGCTTAACTGTAATTACATAGGGTGTTGTGAAATTGTTCAGTAAAGCCCAGGTTAGCTATGGGAGATGTGGGTTCCAATTGCAGTTCCCTAACAACTGATTTGCTGTGGTCAATTCAGAAAATAACTTTGTGTCTTAGTCATTTCAGTAACCAACGTTTAGAATGCTATATGCCAGCGCTGCCCCAATGCCATATGGATCATTGTTTAGTCTTTGCCTCTCAGTAACTGTTCTCATTTTACAGTTGTGGAAGCTGATTGAGAAAGCCTAAGCAAGGTCTGTTAAGTGGGAGTAGTGGAATTTGAGTCAAGGTTTGCTTAATTGGAAAGCCCATGAGAGGAATGGAGCAGTTGTGAATGTGGAACCTCCAGAGTTTTCAGCGATTTCTCTTGTTTTTTGTTGGGGTGAGGAGAGGTGAATAAATAGGTATGATGTGGTATGTGTGTGTGGTCAAACTAGTAACTATCAATAGGTAATAGACTTTTTTCCTATTTTAAGTATAATACCTGTAGTCATCTTATATGTACTTTTTGTTTTCAGATTGAAGATGGAAAATCCCCAGGACATTTTCTCAAGTAATGGTGGCTGTCTAAGTGATATAGTTATAGAAAAATACCTGGTTGAATCCAAGGAGTCTGTGTCTCATGTTCAGCTTGCTTGTAGCATGCAAGACTGTGCTTTCCCTTTGGATGGGACTGAACTTTGTATATGGAACACGAAGAGTCCTTCTCATCAGGTATTGAACAAGTTACAAGTCCAGTATCATGAAGGCCTTGCCCTTGTCTCTCCATGTCTTTGATGCTCTTTGGACAGCATTACCCTCTGTGGATTCCGCTACCAACTATGGGAGAAAAATATCGATAAAAACATTATATTATTTTATTTTTAAATTTATTTTTATTTTACAATATTTTTACATTTAGAACACAAGTGATCTGGAATTAAAAAGTTTCTTCAGTTAGAAGCTGATCAAGAAAAGATTCATCTTAACATAATCAAGTCTCCTACATTAGAATATTTAGATTGACCTCACTTTTTCAGTGAAGTATAAACTACTTAGGAAAAAAAAAAGTTCCACGTAATAAGTGCATGTTGTGATGACTATAACTAAATGAATATGCCCAGGTAACCACCCCTAGGTCATACCTTGTCTCCATCAATGCCCACTTCTCTCCTGCCCAAAAGGCAACACTATCTTGACTTCTAATACCATAGGTTAGTTTTGCTTATGATGAACTTTATATAAATGTGATTATACATTACGTACTTTTTTGTGCTGGTTTCTTTGATTAATAGCATTATTTTATGAGATTCATTCATGTTGTTCGTTTTCATTGCTACAGAGTATTAGGATTTATTAGGTACCACTATGCCCTTTTTGAAAGGCTAAACTAAAAATACATTTTTATTATAGAGTAATAAGTAGAATTACATTCTACTTATGTAAAGACTACACTTTATCCATTTTTGTTGTAGAATAGTAAGTAGAATTACATTCTACTTATGTAAATAGACCACACTTTATCCATGCTTGTGTTGGTAGACATTTGTTGTATTTCAGTTTTTTTGGCTGCTGGATTCTTTCATATGTCTTTTGGTGCAGACACATATAATTACTGAATTATAAAGGATACATAAGCAGTTGACCCTTGAACAACGTGGGTTTGAACTGTGCTAGTTTACTTATACACGGATTTTCTTCAACCCAATGTGGGTCAAAACTACAGAATTTTCAGGATATGAAAACTGTATATTTGGAGGGGCACATTTCCATATATGTGGAGTCCACACAGCCAACTGTGGGATGTGGGTATACACAGATTTTGGTTTATGTGGGATTCCTGGAATGAATCCCTCATAATAGTGAGGGATGTCTGTATTCAGTAGATAATGCCAAGCAGATTTCCAAATTGGTTGTACCAATCTGTAGTTCTTCTAATGGTGTTTGACTTTCAGTTGAACCATATCTTCACCTAAACTTGTTTATTTTTATTTTAGCCTTTCAAAAAGGGCCTAGTGGTACCTAATTATGATTAGTAATTCCATGATTATTAATGATGTTTAGCACATTTTTGCACATTTATTGGCCATTTAGATATTCTTTTTTGTGATATGTGTTTTCAAATCTCCTGCCATTTTTTTCTATTGGATTATCTGTCTTTTTTCTATTGATTTGAAGGAGTTCTTTATATTATAAATATAGGCTTTCTGTTGTCCATTTAGGTTAGTTTGCATTTTCTAGTGTTACATAAATTGAATCATATGGCAATTTAATTTTGTGTTGACATGTAATACTTGTACATATTTTGGGGCTCTATGTAATATTTTGATACAAGTATACAATGTGTTATGATCAAATCAGGGTAATTGGGATGGCCATCACCTCAAACATTTATCTTTTTATTGTGTTGGTAATATTATAGTTTTTTTCTTCTGGCTATTTTGAATTATATAATAAGTTAATATGAACTCTGATTTTCCTCCTGTGCTATTGAATACCAGAACTTATTATCTAACTGTATTTTTTTTATTCCTTCTCCCACTTCTTTTCATTCTCTCCACTTCCCTTCCCAGCCTCTTTTAACCACCGTTCTACACCCTGCTTCCACGAGATCCACTTTTTAAGTTTCCATATATGAGTGAGAACATGTGATATTTGTCTTTATGTGCCTGGCTTACTTAATTTAACATAATGACCTCCAGTTCCATCCATGTTGCTGCAAATGACAGGATTTCAGTCTTTTTTATGGCAGAATAGTATTCCATTGTGTGTACGTACCGTATTCGTTTATCCATTTATCTGTGGCTGGACACTTAGGTTGATTCCGTATCTTGGCTGTTGTGATAGTGCTGCAATAAATATGGGAGTACGTTATCTTATAATGTAATTATTTGTCTCTTTGTACAGCTTTTAACTTGATGTCTGCTTTATCTGATGTAAGTATAACTACTCTTGCTTGCTTTTGGTTTCCATTTGCATGAAATATATTTTTCCATCCCTTCACTTTAATACTATGTATGTCTTTATTGGTGAGATGAGTTTCTTGTAGTCCACATATAGTTGGGTCATCTTTTTCTTTTTATTCAGCCAGTCTATATCTTTTTAGTAGGGAATGTTATTTATTTACATTCAGGGTTATTGATAGGTAAGGACTAATTCCTGTCATTTTATTGATTGTCTTCTAGTTGTATATCTTTTGTTCCTTACTTCTTACTGTTTATTTTTTCACTTGGGTGGTTTTCTATAGATTTGATTCCTTTGTTTTTCTCCTTTGTGTGTTGGTTCTACCAGGGAGTTTTATAGTTTTCCAGGTTTTCATGATGGTGGATATCATCATACTATTTCCAGATATAAGACTCCCGTGAGCATTTCTTGTAAGACTAGTTTAGTGGTGATGAATTCTTTGAGTTTTGTTTGTCTCTGAAGATTTAATTTGTCCTTCATTTCTGAAAAATAGCTTTGCTGGGTATAATATTCCTGGCTGGAAGTTTATCTATTTTCAGTACTTTGAATGTAGCATCCAATTCTCTCCTGAAATGTAAGGTTTCTGCTGAAAAATATGCTGTTAGTAAAATAGAGATTCCCTTATATGTGACTTGATGCTTTACTCTTGCTGCTTTGATTTTTTCTTTGTCGATGGATTTTGACAGTTTGACTATAATGTACCTCTGAGAGGACCTATTTGGATTGAAACTATTTGGTTATTCGACCTTCCTGGACCTGGATTTCCATCTCTTTCCCAAGACTTGAGGCATTCTCTGCTATGATTTATTAAATAGTTTTCCTCACCTTCTCCCTTATCTTCTTCTGCTAGAATGCCCATATTAGGAATATTTATTTGCTTAATGATATCTGATAACTCACATAGGCTTTATTCTTTTTTATTCTTTATTCTTTTTTTGTCTGCTGGTATTATTTCAAAAGTCCTGTCTTCAAGTTCAGAAATTCTTTCTTCAGCTTGATCAAGCCTAGTTGCTTAATCTAGTTGTTAAACCTCTCAATTATGTTTTTAAATTTTATTCATTGAATTCTTTAACTCTAGGATTTATCTTTGGTCCTTTGAGCTGCTCAGCTCACCTGGTGGTATGCCCCCAAAGGCAACCCGTGGGTCTTTTTCTTGAGTCTGAGACATGGGCACATAGCTGCTTGTTGGGCCTGGGAGCATGCTTACCATGGTCAGCCTGTGAGACTGTTTCTCAGGCGTTTTTGGAGACTTGGGGACATTGGGCAGCCTAGAAGTATTTCTTCTTGTGGCAGGGGTGCCATAGGGGTGTTTCCCAGGTCCTGAGCACAGGTGTTTAGCAACTCTGCTGGCCTGGGGTGAATCAGCTGTTAGGAGGCTCAGTAGCCTCTCCTGCTTTGGGGAGGATGTGTAATGGTTTGGCTAAATCAAGGGCAGGTTTGTCCTGGGCAGAACTGCTGGGCTGTTTCTCTGGCTGGAAGTGCAGTGGCGAAGGTTGGTTTCTCTGTTGTGCAGGGCCAGACTCACAGCGGATCCCGGTCCCAGGCTTCATACAACTGGGGTTGTGACATTCAGCCACCCATGTAGGCTTGGTGCAGTAAAGATGGAGCCCCAGGGCTGGAGAATGGCAGTGACTTCTGGCCCCCAGAGCAGGGCATGCTCCAGAGGCAGCTCTGATCTCAAGATGGTGCTGTGCTACAGCAGCTTTGGCTCACAGGGTGGGTGGGGAGTGAGGAGTGCACACTTCGTGCTCCTAATCTGGGGTAATGCAGCAGCCTGAATTTCCAGCAGCTCCCAAACTGGGCTCAGGGCTTGCAGGGACTGTGGGATTCTCCTGTTGTAAAGACTTCAGGTGTTTGTGGTGGTGATGTGGGTGATTGGGAATCTTTTGCTCACCTTTTCCTTGCAAGGGGAAGTCCCTTCTGACTCTGGGCAGATTTGACCCAGGCGGGGGAGGTGGGACTACAGAGGCCAGGTACCTCCATGCTGCTCTCCTGGACTTCCAGTCACCACAGGTGCATCTTCAGTTCCTCTGCTGTGTTGCAGTGCTCTTCCTTCCACACTAGTGAGATCTTAGCTGTTTATTTATTGCCTTTTTTTTTTTCTTTTGGAGGGGGACAAGTGCCAGGTGTCTCTAGTCAGCTATCTTGCTAATATCTCTCAGTCTAGTTGTCAGTTTCTCCAGGTACAGTATGCTTGATTGGCATTTTTTCTTTCTTTCCCTGAATATATCACGACCTCACCTCACTTCTATCGTATAAGGTTTTTGCTGAACAGTCTGCTGCCAGGCATATTGGGTCTCCCTGATGTGTTATTTACTTATTTTATCTCACTGCTTTCAAGATCCTCTCTTTGCCTTTGACCTTTGAAAGTTTGATTATAGTATGTCTTTGGGTATTCTTATTTGGGTGGAATCTTATTGGTAACTTTTGACCTTCCGGTATGTATTTATATCTCCAGGTTTGGAAAGTTTTCTATTATTTCTTTGAATAACCTTCTACCACTTTGTCTTCCTCAGTTCCTTCTTGAACTCTACTAACCTGAATATTTGCTCTTTTGTTGTCTCATAGCTCCCGTAAGCTTCTTCATTCCTTTTCATTTTCTTTTTTCTCCTCTGACTGTGTATTTTCAAGTACTGTGTCTTTGAGCTCACTGGCTATTTCTTCTGTTTGCTGAATTCTGTGGTTGATGCTATCTATTGCATTTTTCATTTCACTAATTGTATTTTTTAGCTCCAAAATTTTTGATGTTTTTTTAAATTAACAATCTCTGT